AGCTTTTTTTTTTTTAAGTTTCAATGAATATCTTAAGAAACTTCAATTCCTTTAATCATTTTACAGCATTGTTCTGAGAAAAAAAAAATCCCGTATCTTTAGTCAGAAAAACGAATTTACCTCTTAACAATCTAGTTCTGAACATTATGCATCAGGGTTCACTATCCCAAAATGGTTAAAAAAAGGCAAAAAGTTAAAAAAAAAAAAAAGCAAAACTTTTGTAATGAGTTGAGCATTCTTAATTTTCACCACCACAAAGAAAAAAAAAAAAAGAGTTGAAAAGAGCACTAACCCGCAGCAAAACTAAGAGGTTGCAAAATCACATAAATTAACCCTGCCAGTAATATTTTCCTAAAACTCGTGCGGGTGCAGAGCAGAGGCCGGGCGCTGACATGGTCCCCGTTAGCAGCCCTGTCCGCGGCGCGAGACGCGCTGCCCCTCGCCCGCCCAGCCCCACAGGGGCACCCGCTTTCTCCATCCTCACGACTCGGATAATAAAACTTACTGACCTGAAAAGCCAGTTAGGAGATTTAATTAATGGCTGAAACGCTTTTTGGGATGGTTTGATATTGAGTAATATGGAAGGAACAACAGCAAAGTTTGGAAATAGTGACCCATCTCCCCGGGTTTGTGTCCTGCCCCAGCACTGTAGTCCCCGGCAGCCACATAGACATATCATAAATATTTATATTAAAACTAAATTAATTGTATTTATGGTTCTGTTTGCTGCTGCTGCACCAGTGCAGCGCATTTTGGAGCTCAGTAGTGCTGAATTTGCCCAATTCTTATGAAAATCAGAGTTGTATTTTTAAATATGGCATGCAAACAGAAAGTGTATCTAAATACAGGTGGAAATCCAGTTTTAATTCTTCGTCTTTTGTTGGCTTTGAACCTGATGAGCTGCAAGTTATCCAAGGTGAGCCTTGAAGACTATTCCACCAGAAGGATGGGGTATGACGGCAAAACCAACAAGTGCACGGACCAAAGTGAGCATGGGGTAAATACATCGAGGTGTTTAGGCACTCCAGGACACTCCGGTTTGATTTCTTCCTTTAATCCAATAACTATTAACAATCCCAACTTGTGCACAGATTTTGGTGCTCTGAGAGGAGGAGAACTGAGTAGACCAAAGTGTCCTTCAGTGGACAGAAATAGGTTTAATTCCTTCTTTCCTGCCCCAAAACAAGCCAGAAGCAGCTCTGCTCAATGGGACAAGTGTTGGCATCGGGTCAGCTTCTCTGTAAAAACTTTTATATAGTCCAAATAGCGTAAAGCATGCGTATAAGAGCATGTCTTGATATTTATTGCCCTGCTCTTCATGTAAATTTGTACGTGTTCATTATACAGAGAGGATGGATCCATCCAGCAGCCGCTCCCAAAGTTTGCAGCAATAGGGTTAAAATCCTCTCCCTGTCACTGCCTTGTTTCTTAGGAGTGAGAACAGCTCAGAAGGGTCTAGGAAAGGCCTTGATTCGGGAAATCATTTGAGCATATATTCTTAATTCCTAGTCCTTCAGTTAAGAACTTAGCGGTTTATGAGCATTCCTGAATCTGGATGCTTTTCCCAATGGAAACTTTGGCCTCCCACAGGCTTTCCGAGGTTTGCTGAAAAGACATCTATCTTAAGGCACTTCTGTTGAGGGCTGTTTTCTCATTTAAATATATATATATATATATTTCCTTCAAAATACTTGTATAGTTCTTAACATAATCTGTTCCTCTGCTGTACTAAAAAAAAAAAAAAATAGACTTAATATGTAAGGCTGCCTGAAACCGCTGATATGACACATAGTTTAGGATGTGAAAATCACATATGTTTGCTCCATCTCTCCTCCATCAACTTAACAAAAAATAAAATAAAACTTTGCAGGCGTTTTAGCGTTGCAAGATGCCACACTTTGACAGTGTTTTCCTGTTTTCGCTCCACGTCAGCAGGTCTGTGTCAGATAAACAGCTCTGGATGAGCAGCTTATTCCCAGGGAAATGGAGACAAGTGGTGATTATCAAGAATTATGGTAGGAGAGTGAGCTCCTTTCTTGGGTCGGAAGGTGGATGGGAAGGAGTTGGCTCTATGGGGCTTTTTGGCATGGTTTGGTGTCCTTGCACCCTTGCAGACCAAGGCCTGCATGGTGCAGCAGGTTTACGTGCTCCTTGGGTTTTGCTTGCCCTGGCTGGGAGTAAAATTCACATGTAAACAAGCAGCTGGAGGGAGCTGAGGAGCTGGGGCCCTGTTTTCACAAATGCAAGAAACATAAATACAGAGGGTCTATACAACAAGTGAGTATCTCTAAACATGCTCAAGTAGGACAGGCTGTTTTCTGTAGCCATTTATTTGGAAAAGTCCCTACTCAGACTGTTTTTTCTTTTATGTGTAAAATATATGCTTGGCTAGCTCATCTTGGGAAGAAGTATGAAAAACCTAATAGTCATTGTGCTCGACGATTTTCAGTATGAAGATATAAAACAATTTTCAATATAAAGCAATTTGTTATGATGTTAGACTGGAAGGAGCTATGTGATATGTCTATTCAGCTGTATATTTTGTCTCTTTTGCTCATGCATTATGTTTGTAGTTGAATAGATTTCATGCAAAGATGAATAGGGGGCACAGGGTTTTTTTCATCAAATGCAAACATAAAATAATTAAAAGTAGAGGTACTGCAAGCCCGAGCTTTGCTTTTAATGCCTCTTCCATGGGCTTTGTACACAACACTGACTCCTTGCAGCTGCCTTGAGCTTGATTTAAGGAAGGTGTACGGCACAGGTAAGATCTCAGCGTTAATCCTTGCTGCTATGGCTGCTCTCAGGGCTTTCTGCCAGGCTGTTCCATCAACTGCTTTGCCCAGATTTCTACTGAAGGACCCACTGGAAGCACATCTCTTATATTGTTAGCTGATCTCTAACTATTTAAACTGCCCATTCGGACTGTCTTGTTTTTTTTCCCCTTGACAAGTTCATGAGAACATGCCAGTTTTCTCAAGTTTTGATGTTATGGGCTCACAGGATAATCCCTTCTTTCTCAGAGGATGTGTTTGGACAACACAGAAGGTTGACTTCCTCCAGAGACCCCCAGGTGACTGACTGCTTCCATAACACTCAGTCTCCCAAGATGGCCCAATATCCTCTCTTCCTGCCTTCTATCTCTGCACTACTGCATCACTCCAATATCCCTCTTCCTTCACCTTATTTCTGCAGTGACCCTAGCATAAGCCCATGTCCAGGTATTGTACTCATATGCATTACTATGTTTTGCTACTTATTATGTATATTTTAGTTTTTAGCTTTTTCCCTCCTCAAGCCCCAGTCTTGGTCCGGTTTTGCCCGTTATTCTATATATACACAGCAGGAAACTATTGCTGTCCTGACGTGATTATGCTCTAAAGAGACAAGGCAGACAAAGGAAGTATTATCACCATTTTAGTGAACAGGGAGCCAGGGCACGGAGAGATTAAATGATTTACCCAAGGTCACGCAGAACATCCGGTCAGAGCCAAGAACTGAACCCAGGTCTCCCGAATCTCAGTCAAGTGATTTAGCTCTAAGAACAAAGCCTTACCAGGTAAACCTGATGTCATTCCCCTAAGACACGGCAACAAAAGTTTCTTCAGGTTAGGATCAACACCAGGTACAATGAAGTTTTAGTTTTATAAGTAAGTGGCATAGCTGTTTGGACAGCATGGACCTGCTTCTTGCACTAGAGTTCTTCCCAGGAAATAATTCCCCTTATTATTCTTCCATTGACAAGACACTATTATCCTTTTCTAGACAACCTCTGAAGGAGAGGATGTATGCACAGGGTACGTCAGATGAATACATGGGAAAATGGTTTTCTTCGAGGCCAAACTCAGTCATTTTATAGACTGTTTAAAATCCTTCCATGCTAATTAAATGGGGACATTCCCACCGCTATATATACACACTTCACTTTGCAGTTTTGTCTGGCAGTTGTGCAAGAAGATAAAGGATCTACATCCATTATAAATATATATATGTCAGGAGAATGCTGCTGGAATGGTCAGGATAAAGGCATCATTCATTGTAGGCTGGGAGTAGTCTTTTACTGGGAGTCATTATTATTCATTCACTGGGGTCAATATATCATTCCCGGGATGAAATACTCCTCTGTGTACAGAGCCTGCATGGGGCCCTAGATACTACTTAGTCCTTTCAATTTTAAGGGTAATTTGGCTGAAAAGTGGCTGTACAAAATGGTAGCAGTTAGCCTCTATGCCAGCACAGCAAGGAGACCAGGAAATGGATCCTGCCCTCTGGATGCCCCTGTCCTCTGGTCCCTTACTGTTGCCTGGTTGTTTTGCAAATAAAACAGCCGCACGTTTGTTTTAGAACAATCTTTTGGCCTACTTTTGGCCTACTTTTTGCAGCTAATGCCAGGAACAAGAGCAGAAAGCCCAACGTGAACGTGAGACATGAGGTTGATTTTGTGAGCCGGCATCTACAAACTGCACATGGTGAGTGTAGAAACCATGGAGATGACAAGAGGTGGAACATCACGATGGCCTTTTTGCAGAACAAAATCTGTGTCACCTCTGCCTGCCTTGTATTTCAGTAATATTAGGAAATCATAGGTGCATTCCCAGATCTCCCATCCACATTTCATAGATGTTCTCTATTGGCACAGACTTCACTGTAGGATACAGGAGCTTGTAGTGGATTTTCCTAGTTAGGTTGCAGAGGTGTTAGAGAAAGTCAGATGTTCGCTGGAACATGTCATATTTGTTCAATTCAATCTACATGTTCTTAACCAACAGCACACAAAGAAATTTACCCTTTGGTTTTCTAATAGAGGAAAAATTAATGCTTTCACTTAGACACACTGACTCTTGAGCAGAAATAGGATGTACATAGATACCATAAACCATATTTAGTTTTGCCAAAGAATATAATTATTTTTGGTATTTTACATTTGCAATAGGACTGGGACATGACACTCGGAAGTGCTTTTAAAATTACCAGTGTTTTAGTACTCCAGTTTCACTTACTTTTTTAGATGTTCAAAGAGGATTTTCATTGTCTCGTAGTTTGGTTTAGGGAGCTTTTTTACAAGATTCTTTATGGATTTAATGCGAATGGCCTTGTCCGGGATTTCTAAGGAAAAACATACAGAAAAAAATACATTTGAGTGCCACATCATTCAGATATTACTTTGACCAGTGCTATAGCAGCTATCTTAGCAAGAAAAGTAATCACTGATATATGGTTAAGACCAGAACATGTTGTACCTTTTATAAAAAGGTCAATCCTTTTATGAAAATACTCTACCACAACTATTTTCTAATTCCAGGTGTACCCCTAGCATCTCTCAACTGTAATTTTTCCAGGGAACACTTAGCATTTCAAACTTGCAATTAGTAACAAAAAAAGTTGGACTCTGGCCTTTAATGTTTCTTTTGAGCTGATAAGAACATTGCTATCTCTTTTGCTAAGGTAAACCTTCAGGTTTCAGCATGATTCATTGTTTCAGGAGAAAGGTTTGGCTCTGATATTTGCATCAATTTGTATATGATGTTCCAACCGAATTAAAGTCGTGTACAACTGTGCATTCATTTAGGAACAGATTAGATAAGGTGCCAGTAGGTCTGACGTAGGGAAAACATCTTGCTTGTTACATGCCCTAGATAACCTGAGAATTCTTTTCTGATCTTATCATCTATGATTTAATTATCACCTATCATTCTTCAGATATCTTCGTTTTTAATATTCATATTGCCCTCACACCCTGAGATCTCCATCAGGATTGAATACCAGTTACAGTAGGTGCTACATAACTAGGCATGCCGATTAGTGCCTTAATTCAATTTTTTTTTAAAAAAAAATTGAACAAAAATTTCTGGCAGCTCAAATTAATTTAAAAATTAAAATTCTTAATAGGACAGTATTCTTTCTCTAGCATGTATTCCTAACTCCTGTTGAGATTAATCCTTCATACGTGCAGACCTATAGATGTATATTATCTATAATACTGTTAACATTTTATGTATCAAGGACTAAAGTTCAAAGTAGAAGACGAATAGGCATTATTTTGCAGTGAGAAGGTGAGCGAAAGTGAAAGCAAGAATCCTATTTCATAAGGATTTATTCTATAGAAAGTTGTGCAGTTGTCAATGGCAGTAATGAAGTTACACACAAATGAAGAATAATATTTCTAAGTATTTTACTCTGTTTTGACCTATACAGATCCTGAACTTCTCCACAGCACCCAAATCATGACACACAGGAACCCCTTGATTTTTCTGCACATGTCAATGATATTATTTTTTTGTCCATAAGAGAGAGAATCATCGCAGCAGAAATGCTACAAATTAAAATGATGCAGAAGTCGATCTATGGAAAGAAGTAAGTACAGCATCTGCAGATTTTTTTGC